GGAGGGGAAGACCAAAAAATAGCGATTGAAAGGATGTGAATAAGTTAGAACATGAACTGGAAGGCAATGTTTATTTTATACGTTAGGAATAGAAATAAGTTGTAGTGAAGGAACCTGAAACGCCAACTACAAMATGATGTCCAAAAAAAGCAGTGGTAGAGGCTGTTACTTGACCAGCGGACGTCAAGTTTTTCTCTTTCTTTTAGCGCCACTTCCATTCTTGGGTTCTAATTGTGATTGTGAAGCTTTCAATTTTTCCCCTGTTGCTGAACTCCACAAAGCCCTCTCTACATCAGATGGTGTGAAAATTTGTCCGTCTGAGCTCAGTTCCTGCAGATGACCAAACCATCCCACATTAAAATAGTTGGAAATGCTAAACCGATACCAATGGTTAAGCCACAGTGGACTACTTATGTCCTCGAAATTAAGAATTGAGTATGAGTTCCAAGTTTGTTTTGGTGGGTTGTTTCAGATTCGCTATGTAAATCTTACACAAATTCATGCTAATGAAGTACTATATTATATATTAACTTCTACAAATCAAACATAGTTTACATAATCCAAGCACAAATCACACAACTAAAAACTCTAAAACCCGAATTTGAAAACGCATTACAGCCCTGAGCTTATAACAATTTGCAAAGATAAGTTGGTCAATAAGTCAAAACAGTGTAAAAGAAAATACAAATCAATGTCAAGAAAGAAAGACTAAAAGGAATGGAACAGAAATAAGTCTCGGTTGTTCTGACTCTAAGAAATCAATAATGAACATTATGAACTTAACTTCCATTCCATACATAATACAGAAAACAAGGGGCTTGATTAGAGACATAGCTAATAATGGTATTTTCTGACATACCTTGGCTTTCTCTTGCAACGTATTTGCGAAGGATAAGTACTGCTTCAACGAATAATCCTTGGAGTTGCCAAGGGCCGCCTCCATAGCCTACTTCTTCACCATCATAAGTTAGATATCCAAGTGCAACAAATACTCAAAACTCCAATTGCAGAAATCAATGGTTACTACTACTAATCTAATCGAATTGCATCAAAATTTCTCCTGATATCACCTCATCCGACATGAAAGGCGCAACGTCCGGCGCGTAAGCAGCGAGAACCGCCGAGGCAGTGGCGGGACCGACGCCCTTGAGCGGCGTAAGCTCAGACACGGCTTTGGAAATATCAGGAAGGCATTGGAAGGCCTTCTGAGAGGCCAATTTGACGAGCGATTCGTCCAACGATGAAACGAAGTCCAAGAGACGCGGCCTGAAATTCGTAAAATCGTTATCGATAAAATTGATGTGAAATCGTTGAAATCTGAATGAAGAGAAAGAGATAGAGAGCAGCTATCACCTCCATTTGCCACGGGTGAGCTTCCATTGCATGAGCTTGGAGAGCTCGGGAGTAGTGATGTAAGGGTTAGGGTTACGTTTGTGGAGAAGATTGGGGAGTTCGTTTCGGTAAAAATGGTCGAGAGAAACCAAATTGGGCTTGCCCAGGGCTTCGATTTGGGATGGATAAGAAGAGAGAGCTTCTCCCCAAAGAATTGGATCGGAGTTCTGAAACTCCACCATTGCAGCTCAGGCTCCTCGAGAGTTCAAATGTTTGAAGATGGGGGTTTTTCGCGGCTACCCAAAACTCTTGGCGGGTTTTTTTTGGTGGATTTTTTTTTTTTTTTTTTAGATATCAATTTTCTTACTAGTTACTTTAGTTTAGAAATAATGTTAAACTGTTCCACTCGTTTTTTTTTTCCTTGGCATTTTAAAAAGATCTACAATTTCAATTTTTATTTATTTTAGTTATTGTATTTTAAAAAGATAGTTTTAGATATTTTTTAATTACCATACTTATAAAAAGTTAATAATTTTTGTTCATATTTATAAAATTTATAGATAACTGAAACTTTTTCATATAAATTTATGATTACATCTTGATAAATATCAAATATATGAATTAAATTTACCTAATTCATTAGTTTAAATTTTTGAGTTGAGTTGTGGTTTAACGAACAAAAATGGTAAAAATAGAAAAAAAATTRACCTTTTTTGGAAGTACATAAACAAAAATCAAAACTACAAATACCAAAATAGTATTTGAAAAAAAAACACACACACAACTTTACTCATTTAAACTTAGACTTAGCTTAAATGACAGTCCATATGAATCAATTTGAYATGATTTGAGATTTAGCATTTAATTTTAGAAATTATTTCGATTTAGATGTTTTATTCCTATTATGATTATGAATCATTCTATTATAAATATGATGATAAGTTGTATCGAGATGAAGCAAGAAATTCAATATAAAATTATATTTTGTAATTCTTTCCATCTTCACCCCTCCATGAAAGCTCCAAAATTTAGAATATTACATTTCAAAATCCACTCACTTTGTTGAAAATAATCTTGAACAAAATTAAGTGCAATCAATACATAAACTCTACCAATAAAAAATCTCCCAAAATCACAAATATTAACAAAGATTCGGAAAAAAAAAATCATTAAATATGCCCCTGATCTATAATCTTTTAGGTAATTATTGATTTCATCTTTTAAAACCTTTAGTTTTACCTTCCCCGTAACAAAAATTATCAATTAAGTCCTAAAAAAATGTAGTTAAAATTAGTTAGTAAATAAGCAAGTATTAACATGTTTGCATGCGTACTTTTAAAGTGGTAATTTGTATTTAAAAAAAAAAGAAAAAGAAAAAGAAAAAAGTGGTAATTTGTGTTGAAATTTTCAGAATATACACGTTGTTACTTGTTAGTTTGTACCGCCCGCAGATTATGAAATTTTCAAATAGACAAAAAATAATAAAATAATAAAAAAAACCATAAAATACAACTCCCTGCGCTGCCATCCAGTCCGGTGTCCAGCACCCAGTTTTTGGGCACATCATATTTTCTCCAGAAAATCATAATCTACAGTCAACGTGGTCTCCAAGTTATCTTCCTCCGAATTGTCTTTGTCAAGAATACTGCAACGGCTCCCTCGTATTGTCGCTTTCGTAGTCGGAATTTTGAACAATGTGACCCAATATAAAATAACCTATTTGCTTTTGTAGTTCATTTATATTTTGTTTCAAATTGGTTATTTACTCTTTTTCTAACTATCATCCATATGTTTCGTTGAGAAATTATTATTATTATTATTATTATTATTATTATTATGGAAAATAGGTGGGAGAAACAATCTCTTATCCTCACAATTAAATATTTGACAATTTATTATTATTTTAAAACAGTATATGTTTTTTCATTTCTTTCTTAAATTGTAAAATGACGAGAATGATAAAGTGAGCCAAATATTTTCTTATTATTATTGAGCCGATAAATATAAGAGTAATATTTACCCTGTGACTGATGGATATAAATCTATGGTTTTTGTTTTTTTAAAGCAAGAGAGATCAAAGTAGAAAAATGAGAGTGGATACATTTTTCTTTAAAAAAACCAAATAACTCTCAAACTTTAAACATACTAGGTAGTTTACTTTAAATTTCCTGTCGTTATTCAACCTGTAAGTTTGTTTCCTTTTGGTTCTATTTGTAATAAATAATAATTTTTGTCCCTACTATTATTATGCTACCCAATACCTTCCTTGTCCGCTTCAAAATTTAGAGAGAAAATTTATATTTTAAAAGTTAAAAGAGCAATATTTATTCTTAATATAATTAAAATTTTTAATTTCAAGATCAAATGAACTTAAAAGGTGGAGCATTTAACATAAACCATACCATCAACCTTCAATATTTCATGCTTTAAATTATTTGTGAGTGGTCTTCCATAGTTTTTTTATTGCAAAACTATCAAAACATTTCAGTCCCAAGAAAAAATTGTCAATTGAACTATAAGGATATCAGTAAACAAACTAAACTTACAATGTAATTTGTAATTTATAAATGTGAAACTCTTTTATAATCTCATTTGAAAAAGTAGTTTTATTCTCTAAAATCCTGTCTTAATTTTTAATTGGATCCTTAAAGATAAAAAATTTATTTTACATATATTCATGTTAATGACATGAAAAATCAAATAGACTATAATTATTTTATAATATAATATGACAATCCTGACTATAAAAATCAACATAAGTTTTCTTTTTACAAAAAGCTTATAATTAAAGTAAATAAAACCAAAGGAGTTAAAAGTGAAATTAAACATCGAGTTTGTTTTATTATACAGAAGATGCGATCTACTTACCTGGAAATTTCTGCATTTTTCCGGTTGTTATTTTTTTGCCCTTAGAAAACTGGCCGAGTAGGCGTTAAATTTAATATATGAGTTGGCAGTTCAGTGGGTTTTATTTTTATTTTTCTTTTTTGAATGGTTGCATTGTATTTGTATTGTACAGTGGATTTTCTATTTTTTACATTCGGCTCCACTATCATCGTATCATATTGGGTGGTGTTACTAAAAATTTATGTTGGGGAGGTTATTTGTATTGATAAAGTAGAATGGTAAATTTTAAATTTTAGGACTTTTTTTCATAAATTATGAGACGCTTTTGTTTTTTGTTTTTAAGATATGCCGTGTTAAGTGTTTCAGCYTTTGAGATACCMTGGARAATTAATACAGAAAAGTCATCTCCATCCCCACCCATCAATGCTCATACCAAGTCTGGTATAAAATATTAACAATTTCTCTTAAATACTATAAATAAAGTAAATAAAAAGCAGAGTTGATGGAGTGGGGTTTTMTAGTTTTATCCCATAAGGCATTYATCTGKTAAGGACAACGGTACATCAAGTATTATGAATATCTCTAATTGTCTGTTTTGAGCATAACCTTCACTAATTTGCTTTTGATTTCACCAAAARTAYCTTATACCAATGAAGATAATTGTTATCTCTTATATAAAATGAATCATGCTATTTTCTAACAAGTGTGAGACTTTGTCTGTATTTACCTTTTCAAACGCAACATCCTCTCCCAACGTTGTGGTTCTCTTTTCAACTCAATTAATATACTTAATACTTTAGTTGAATGGAATACAAAATGATTTGGACAAAAAAACAAATTATGAGAAACTTGCCAATCTGAATATAKGTAAACTACTTTAGACAGATTAAGATGTCGTGAGTTAGAATTAACATGTTATAGTTAAAAAAAAAAACTAAAAATTACGAGGAGCTTAAAAAAAATCTTAAATATAATATTTTGTATATATTTACAAACGACATCGTTGTAGTTATTATATTGCTAGTCACTCGCAGTCGTCGTAGCCGGCCATGTGCTTGTCGTGAAAATCGGATATTGAATTCTCCGGTAATCGATAAATACGACTTGCTCTTCCTTCCATTAAAAGAAGGAAAAAAAAATGATTTTTTGATTGAACTGGTCAATCACAGTAATTTTCCACACAGATAATTGCTAATTAATTTTCAGCGTTAGATTCACGCAGACGAATGAGGAGGGGAGATGAGAGAGACAGAAGGAATAATATTTTTATTTTAGTAACCTTTTTCCATGCCAGCAATGCAAAAAAAAAACAATTTAAATAAAAAATGCCACATATGCACGAAAACTGCCACGTCATATTTATACAACAAATCTGACGCAGTTTAACTTCAACACCATTTATAACCATTTTAAAAAATTTAGAGACTATATTGTCGGATCTTAAAGACCATGGACCAAATAAAATTCCAACCCATATCTCAAGACTAAAGATGTAATTTATTCAAGTATTMTGTAGTTTTTAACTAATTATTAATTTTGTCAATATGAAYCTACCCGAGTGGATCTATTTSTACTCCAAAGATGTTTAATATCTAATCCATCATCTTCTTACTAAAAGTCTTTCAAATCTCAATCGCTAGTAACTCATATATATTATATCTCGAATATYAATATAGTTGAATTAGTTAAAATATATCCGTTTGACACCAAGTGAAGGTTTGATTTCGAATATTGTTCAACCATATAAGAAACTCGAATATACTAAAACAGGGTAATTTGGTCATATTTTGACTTTCCACCCGCCACTAATTAAAACAGATGATGCATTCTCTATGATTTTGACATTTTGTAGTTATACTGCAATCAAAGTCATGGTCTTATAATAAATATGAAATAAAGCATACGAGAGGAGTTGAAGATAATTATGCAGTCATACATTAAATTGAGTGATTTAAATGTTATAATAAATACGTCAATATGAGTTTAGTTCAACAATTAAGGCATCATATTCATTTCAAAGGGATTGAAGTTTCAATCTCGTGTCCCTATATTTGTTGGACTTAAAAATAATAAAACGCTATAACAAATAATTTTTGTTTCGTACAAAAAAAAAACTAATATAATTTTTGTTTATCAACCTAACTTTAACAGGGGGTTTGAATCAACGATGTTTGAACAATTTTTTTTTATATAAATAAAATTTATCGATTTCACTCCATCCCTTAACAGCTTAAAAAAACTTTATAAAATAATGTAATTTAAAKAATGATATCATAGTTTTTTTCTAATTATTTTATAGTACAATAAATGAAGGAGTATAAATATTTAAACTTCCAACCTAGAAATAAGATATTGACCGGTTAARGACAACGTTTAATTTKTTTTAATAMAACAAATTGGGAGTATAAGAGATCGAATCTCCGACTTCAATAAAAGGGATAGTTGACAATTAATGTTGCTATGCTCATGTT